AGTTTCTCAAGATTACCAACCATAGAAGCAAGTAACTGCTTACTTGCTTCTATTTTTCTATTTACGGAGTAGCCGGCATTCCTAAATTTGAGTCATAATCCAAAGGAAATGGCTCTGCTATTCTTTCCTTTAATTTCAGGTCTTTGGTATTGTTCCACTCTGCTTAAGTACAGTCTCACAGTACAGTTGCAATGGCTGTATCGATATTTGCTCCTTCACCCATACACTTCAATTGTAGCCCGTGCAGCAGACAAATTCGTTTCTTGTTTCAGTGCAATACTCACTCTTGTTCAACTTTGACTGTGCAGTCAAAACAATCTCGACGTAAGGAGCAATCTTTATCTGCTCGGGAGTTTTCAAGCACATTTTTGTCATTATTGTATCACTCTTATACACTGGCCAACGTATGATTACTCTCCCCAATATTTCTGTATTGCTAATCCTTGGCTGAGCGCGGGGAAATGTGGTTGAAGAGAGCTCATGTGACTGCACTTTAAGAGAAAAGAGCTTGATAAAATAAGAGAAAAATAGAGTGGGATTTACAGCAACTACTCTACTGTCTTCATCACAGACGGGGACATTAAGAGGTCACTGCGAAACATGGATTATGAATGATTCTCACCAGAGTGCAGAATATCAACAAAGACATTCAAACGGTTTTCATCCTAGGGTATAGGAAGTATATAGCAAGAAATAATAACTACAAAATACCTCACTTTCTTGGCATTTTAAAGAAAATGCCAAGCATTTGAACACTGCCTCAATGTGAATGTTACTTTGCGAGTCTACTTTTAGTCTCTGATCTGCACCGATCATGTTCAATTTTGGCCTGAAGAGCAGCAATTCCAGCAAGTGGTGTCTAACACACCTCTGTTCTTTTAGTCGCAGCGAGTAGCTACTTGCGTCAGAGACTAGAGCAGCACAGAGAGCCTGAAACACACTTCTGTCGACCGACTTCTATCAGAGACCCATGTCTCAGTCGTGGTGTAAGACCGCAAAGTCTAGAATTTAAAGGAGCAACATAGAATACTTGATTCATCTCATGTCCCTGTCCGCTCAAAAGCTGCATGCAGACGTATCACCCACAATTAAATCCTAAAGTGTATGAATGTGAATGCTTTTCAGTTGAGTTAAAGTACAAGGTGAGGTCATGTTAGCTTACATAGGAAAGGTTTTCGTTGTGTGGACAAAAGAAAGCAAAAGTCAACAAAGAAAGGAACATCACGAGGTCCACACAGGGTCTGACTCAATGGCAAGATGTGTAAGGGAAATGGTGTAACAATTTGTCAAATACATGACCATGATATTTGGCTCGTACTTCCAAAGGTGTCCAAGATGGTCAAAAAGCATTGCTGCATCTAATGATGCTATAGTACACAGTGTTTGAGATAGTTGTGCAGACATTTGGTGCGGAAGGTGTAGGAGGTGGAAGAAGAAAGAGGACAAGAAGAGCGTAGGAGGAGCCTCTGATGATGGTGGTGTCTGAACACCTGGAGTTGTGCAACACAGCGCTAACTACTCAGACAGAACCAGTACTCTATTTTCTTGTGAAATTATTTACAGGTGCCCAAGCTAGCATGCACTTCCGCCAGAAAACCCTTGTGACGCTCACCGAAGCTTGTCGTTGACGACTTGGAGCCACGGCTTACAACGCTTTGCTTTTTTTAGAGTAACGCTCTTGCAGAGCAGTTGTCAGGGCGGTTGCTGAGCGGCAGTGTGAATGCTACTTAAATGTTGTTTCTAGAGCAGCAACAGTAATGTGATGGGGGAGGGTGTTTAAACACTGGTGGAAACCTATTCTCCCCACACAAGAACACACATTATTCCTCTTGCTCTGCAGGTGCCCCCGAGACACGCACATACTGGAAAGAGTCACGACTCATTGAACAGTGTATCCACACAGGTGACCAGGTCATGGGACATGGTGGGTCAGTGTGGAGATCTTGTTAATCTTAGCAGGACGGCTCGGGTAACACTGGAGTTAACGGAGGCTCTGAGCGGAGCAGCCTCGTCCACTGACTCTGTGACGCACGCTCTGTAGTTTGTTGACCTGATCCGACGAGGACACAACAACACACTTTTTGATTACCCCAGAGTGTGAAGGCTCAGGGGGCAGACACACGGGGAGTTTTCTTCTGTGGGAACCTGGAGGGGGAAAGCCTTTATCTAGATGCAGCATGGCTTGGCTTGTTTAGCGCTCACAGGTTCACAGGTTCCCTCGTCCAGGCTGTATGGTGACTCAGCCTGGCTTTCATACAAATGAAACTGACGACTGTAAGATGTCTCTTATTAACCCTGCTTTGATTGTTATCAGGCTATTAAATAGCCGTTAGCTGTTCTCATCAGGAGCATGTGAGACGATAGGACCCTTCTCTGCCTCCTAATTGGCTCAGTCGGCCGTTATCATCTATTGGTAAGCTGGATCACCGCAGGGAGGTTCCAAATTGTTAGCCAGCAACCTAGTGGCCCTATTAATTATGTTAGGGGCAAAAGACACAGGACTTTCACCCAGGAGACCTGAGTGACCACTGTTCATGTCCTGTAATCCTGAAACCAAAAGTCAACACGTTGCCTTGACTTACATAAACAATATAAGTGACATTATCTCATTTTAACTTGACTTATGCAAGTTAACTTATGCAATGTATGTCTTTTAGCATACTTAAGTACTGTGACTAAGTAACATAACAAACACTTATTTTAACCCAAACAACTTTTCCTAAACCTAACCAAGTAATTCTTTTTTCAACTCACATTAACCACGCGTTTAAAACTTTGACCGTTCCACAACGTGCGGGTAGCTGCAACTTGCCCCATGTGAAGCATTTATAATGGCAGTGATAACAACTGATAACAGACATTTTACAGGCTGTTAACATTTGAAATGGGTGGCACCAGCCAGGTTTGCATCCAAATTTAACACAAATTCTGAACACATTTCCAGATAATCATGAAAAGAAATATGAATACACTTTGAATGCCCTTTCTAATATGTAAATATGAAGACTTGGTTCATCCAGATAAACAGTTGGTGGCTGTCCAGTCAGGTGTGTGACGACCCACCCCTCCACTACGGGTCTGTTTCCTGTTTTCTGTCTTTCAGGATGTTGATTAACAGCTGATGAGCCACACCTGAGCCTGTAGTGACGGCTATAAAGACACACCATCTGAACATGGATCTCGAGGGCCGATCCTCTGACACAAAAAAAATTAAAAATTAAAAATGACACTTGTCTTGTCTTGATGTTGTAATGTAACAGGTGTCATTAAACTATTGCAGACATCATTAAAAGAGCGCCAGTCAAACCTCAAACAACAAAACAACAACAATGATGTAGTAAACACGATGTAAATATTGCATTTATAGTAATCCCATGTATTAATATGAGGAAGGTTACAGTCCCCCATCGCTCCACAAAGGTCTTGTTTTTTGTCTGACAACATGTTTCATCTCTTCGGTGGAGCGAAAGCCTGAGTGATGTTTCATCATTCATTCACTGAGTCAGTTTTCCTTGCACTTTGTCACATTTAGCTTTTAACGCCTGCCTCTTCAACCAGACTTCCACTGCCACTCCAGAATGCTGCTGTCTGTTCGGGGCCTATAGCCCTAATCTTTATGGGGGGCATTCTCCCTTGGTGAGACTTTTTTCCACATTTACAGCAGCCGTATGCACTATTTTTCAAGCCATTGATGATAAAACGCCAAAAAATGATTTTGGAAAGACATAATAGCCAAGGAAAGAAATCATCCTGGGGAGCCTCCATCCCACTAATTGTGGTCCAGCTGTCTTACCTCGGAGACCCATAACACAACAAATGTAGAGGAAGACTTATTTGTACTCCTGCCATCTAAAAAACAAGTAAAAATAGTCTGTTACTATTTTTAAGTTATATTATACATGGGTTCAAATATCTTTGTTGTTTGGCTATCAAGTCTGCTACATTTGAATCCACACCATAATAATACAGGCTGCTCTAACTGCAGATCAAGGATCCCCCACAATGCCAATTAAATGTGGTCATCAATTGTCCGAATTAAATAGGTTAACCGCCTCCTCCCATTCACTTTACACAAACTTCATTCAGGTTTATGAAGGGCTACTGAAGCACCTCCATACAGTACACACATCTTTTTTTTTATTTTCAGTTGAATTCATTCATCACAGATTTATGATTTATGGCATTTGCCAGCTGTAAACTAAAAGAAAAAAAAAAACATCTCTTTTCCACTAAACAAAGAGATGGAATATCTTATATTCTGACCCCAACCCACAAAGCTACTCCACTAAGAGTCTTTTTTGACAGGTAAGTTGTGCCGTCCTCATCCGCAATCGTACCCAGAGTGCCCCCTTCGGGTCACTTTGGCAACTGCAGCATCTCAAGCCCGCAGTCGCTCCGCTGAACGCTGCAGCAGCCTCCTGTCCTGCCCGGCGACACGTCCGCTGCAGCAGTAACTAAGGATGTGAATACATTCGTGAATTAATGGGACTTTGTATGCAACAGCGGTGGATACACAGCTGAAGCCTAAAGATGTACTCACTGCATTGTTTTGCAAGCGTGAGGATATAACTGAAAACAGTGTTCAATGCTGCGTGTTCAAATAAGAATAAATATAACCACACTTTTAAAAAAACTGACTGTCTAGCATTATTTGCACGTTCTGGAAGAACTCACTTCCTCTGCCGAGGTTTTGTATTCTGAAGAAATGTCCAAGAGTTCAACCTGATTTTCAACAATGTGCCAAACCGGGTTAAACACCGGAAGATGCGTTAATTATTGACTTGACAGCTCCGTGGAAGTTAGAACTTTGCTTTCACACACGGCACCAGTCACCCTGTCCCATCGCCTTAATGTTACCCAATGTGTTTTTGGATGGTCTGCTAGTCACTGCTTTCTCAGCGCTCCCGTTTTTTCTTCCTAAGAAATGGACAAACTGACGCACCAGTGAGCGATTGGTCCGCTTTTCCCAGCGCTCAATCAGGCCCCGAGTTCCTGCTCAATGAGCTGTGACGCTGGGGAAGGAGGAGGAGGAGGAGCGCTCCGCCGCGCGCTTAAATACGCGGCTCCAGTCCGGATTGCACACAGAAACTCCACAGCAGAGCAGCCGAGAGCATCTCCGCTGACCAATAAAGACTGCTCTTCCGTCTTTTACGCACACAGCCCAGAGACAAAGAGTTCCTCGCTCTAAGATATAATCATGATTAAGAAGATGTCACCCTCCGAGAGCGATTACGACATCCCAGCAAAGAACTGCTACAGGATGGTGATTTTGGGATCCACCAAAGTTGGGAAGACGGCCATCGTGTCCCGATTCCTGAACGGGAGGTTCGACGAGCAGTACACGCCGACCATCGAGGACTTTCACAGAAAACTGTACAGCATCAAGGGAGACGTCTACCAGCTGGACATACTGGATACATCGGGGAACCACCCTTTCCCCGCCATGAGGAGACTATCCATACTGACAGGTACTTATCCACATTTGTTGCTTCATGTTTTTTGCAAGAATAATAGTGGTAGAGAATCAGAAAGAAAATGCAAAAGTGCACTGTGCGCCTTGAGCGCATGGATGCAGCGCACATTGTGTTTGGAACACTTTGTATATATCAAAAGCAGACCAAGTTAACCAAATCTTCCTTCTCTCCCCCCCTCCAGGTGACGTGTTCATCCTTGTATTCAGCCTGGACAACCGGGACTCCTTCCAGGAGGTGCAGCGGCTCAAGCGGCAGATCTTCGAGACCAAGTCGTGCCTTAAAAACAAGATCAAAGAGAACATCGACGTGCCTCTGGTCATCTGCGGCAACAAGTGCGACCGAGAGTTTTACCGGGAGGTGCAGCAGGAGGAGATCGATCAGCTGGTGGCCGGGGACGAGAAGTGCGCGTACTATGAGATCTCCGCCAAGCGCAACGAGAACGTGGATAAGATGTTTCAGACTCTGTTTACCTTGGCCAAGCTGCCTCACGAGATGAGCCCCGACCTGCACCGCAAGGTCTCCGTGCAGTACTGCGACATGCTGCAGAGAAAGTCTATGAAAAACAAGAAGATGAAGGACATTGGGGAAGCGTTCGGTATGGTCACTCCGTGCGCACGGAGACCCAGCGTGCACAGCGACCTCATGTACATCAAGGAGAAGGCCATAGGAGGCGGCCAGGGCAAAGACAAAGATAGATGTGTGATCAGCTAAGCAGAGCGGCGGAGCACAAACTCAACGCAAATCTTTGGAAGTAAAGATGTAGGCAGGTTGAGAGGCGACCTGTGCGGCCGGCTGCGCTCAGACTGACACGGGAGGTGTGGAGACTCAAGGTCCGCCGCCGCTGCGCGCCGCGCGATCTGGCGCAGCGCCGTCTCCGAGGACACTTGACTGGACAAACTTGAACTGCTAAAAGAAAAAGACATTTGACAATGTTTGCTTATTCCGGCAATCGGAGCCCAGCGCGTGGAGTGGCTTCATACCTTGTGCACATCGATGCACATCCATGCGTAACATGTCTTTAGTTGACTTCATGCCTTTTACAGATGCCAGAGGGGAGAGAAAAGAGACTCTTTGCTCCGGAGGTGCAATGTTTGGGGGGAAGATTTTTTTTTATATCTCATCATCTATTTTATAATGGCTAATACACTTGAATGTTTCGTTGCAATCTAAAGTGTTTTTTTTTTAATTGTGAATGTATATTTATTGTTCATGTCAAGAAATTTTGATATAATAAAAAAATGAACTAAAACATGTTTTTTTCCATTGTTTCTCATTTCTTCTCTCTTGACTTCATGTTCTACTGTTCTACTTTTTCTCACACAACCCACATGCAGTGAACACACAGACACTGCTGCCCTGTTTTAACCCCTTAGGCACCCTGCATCGTGCACTTCTGCAGAACCAGCATCATTTGGGCCAAATAATGGACATCTCTTAGCATCCAGAAACGTGTGTCTCGATGCTGTAAAACTCGTGCAGATATCTCAAATGTGCAGCCATATTGCAAAATATAACGAGATCAGAAAAGCTGAAGAAAATTCACATAAAGAGACAGAAAATGCAGCACAGAGAAACCGGCTCAATTGCTCTGAGAAAGCAGGCCTTTCGTGGTTGTTTGAAATCATAACATGAAACCATGATCAGTGATCTGTAGAACAACCCACATGTTAAGCCTTTATGAATTCACATGAATGAAGTGGACCTGTCCATCAAAATGACTGAAAAAGTGCCCTTGAGCACAAAAAGTAGCTATAGATTCTGAATATGTGTAAATATTCATATGTACACACGTTTAAAATAATATGACAACATATGTGTTGAGGTGGAGCAGGATTGGCAGATTATGCCTCTTTAACCCTTACACCCATGTTTGTCTTTTTTTAGGGGGGGACAGGGGAGCTTTAGGGGGAGACAGCAGGTCAACAGTAGATTCTACATAGAAGTGTTGTACATCATCTAAAAGCTGGGAACACAACAAATAATTTGAGTTGCACCTAAGCACCATGTGTTGGGGTCTCAAACTCAAGGCGAATCTGCAAGCAAAAAAGTAAAAAAAAGTTAAAACAATATATATATATATTAATTAAAAGTTAGACTTGATAATAAAAATATCCCCATAGTCGAAATTATGAGATAGAAAGCCATAACTATGATAGAAAGTCATAATTCTGAGAAGGAAAGTCAAAGTGATGAGATAAAAAGTCATAATTATGAGATACTTAAACACACAGTCATAGAAGCAGCTCTTTGGCTGGTTACCCTATGTGACATGGAAATGTATTGTGAGTACATTGAAGACTACTTTAAACGTGGCTTTAAAACACATGAAATACTTCACGTGGGATTGTGCAAACGCACCCTTGAAAGGATTTTAAGCTTTGAACAAAGTTATTGTAATAACTTGTGTTTGATATTTGTCTTTGTTATTTTCTTTAATAGTTTGATCTTTGATAGAGTAATGTGGGTTTATTAACCCTAAATTAAAAGGATTTAAGTTATAATAACAGAAATATGCTTAGATATATTTTTACATTTATATAACTGCATGTACAATATTTGTACACTTGAATAAACAAATGCAGAGAGTTATTTAACAATATGTTAGGAGTAGTTACATTTACACAGTCTTACATTTACAACCGGCCCTTTGAGGGCGACCGTGATGCTGATGTGGTCCAGAGTGAAAATGAGTTTGAGACCCCTGTGTTCGGGTGTTCTTGTCATACAACAGAAATATAATTAAATTCTTTAATTAAAACAAATTGTGAGAGTGTAAACATTATGATGGAAGTATATGACGGCCATCCCAACGCTCTGTTATGTCTCATATGTTTTCCAGCAATTTTGGGGTTTGATACCATTTGTTATACAGATGTGTTGCTAAATTTAACTTATTACCTGACTTCGACAATTTAAAGAAGAATCAAAAATCCCTCCGAAATACCGCAAGACCTTGAGCCACACCATATAAAAAGTCAATATGCTATAATTTTACATCTTTTACCTTTTGACATTTGGAGACTTCTGCAAGAATTTAAATTTTTGCTGATTGTATGACAAATGCTTTTGTTCTTGAAACTGCTCAGAGACCCCCTAATTGTCAATATACCAAGGAAAGCCATATCCCCCTGAATGGACTATGTCTCTCTGTTGTGCTTGTAAAGTTTCATAAGGCTGTGATTGTCCTAGAGATCAAAAGAGGTAATTTTATACAGTGACAAAGCCATGTGAAATGGCTACTATGGGACTAACATCATCCCAAATGAATACAATTGAGCTCTCTCTTGCTTCCCAGTCAAACCCAATTTATGCAATGAGAAGACTGCAGTAATATTCAAAGAAACAACTTTTAACAACATAGGCAAAAATTACACATTTATACTGCATGCAAAAAAACAGGCACGTTTTCTTTCCCCAAACGGCATAGGATTGTAATTGGGCACATCTGTAAAGGGGAGACTCTTGGTTACCCATAGGACCAATTTTCATTGACATATCTTGAAGTTAAAGGTCAAGGATCCCCTGTAAAAAACGGCCATGCCAGTTTTCTCCTGGCCGAAATGTAGCTTTAAAAGCAGCATTTAGCCTCCCTTCCCAAAAAGGGAGGGGGGTGCTGAACTGTCGCTACCAATGGATGCCTCGTTTAGTTTCATATGAGCTGTAGAGCCTCTTAAAGACTATAATGTCTAATGACAGGCTGTACAACATAAAAACAAAGACAGACTGGAGAATTATTATGCCCTGCACCTCCGAACAAACCAAGTTTGTGCTCATCACAGTCTTAATTCTACGTTATTTGCACTTGCTTCCCTAACCTTCCGGCCCTCAGAGATGAACCAGAAACACTGTGTCCAGTTCTTTCTCTCTCTCTGTCTGTCTGTCTGTCTCTCTCTGTGATGTGCCTGGAACCTCGCTATCAGCAATGGTCCTGTATAGGCCTACTGTACCCGGTCAATTCCCACACACGAACAGAACATCCTGCATCATCCTGCGTATGTTTGAGGGAGAAAGTGTGTAAAGAGTCAGGGACACACAGCGGCGCACTGTAACACTGCCCGCCTGCTAATCAGTAACACCATGTGCTCTACTCCTTCTTGCATTCATTATAGAAATACATAATTATGCCGTTTATTAGCATGCAGCATTGTCTCTGTTAGGAGGAGCAACATTTTGTTTTTGTGTGTTGCTCTCTAATCTCAGGGTCACTCCAATAAAATACAAAGAAAAAAATGTGTTTAATGTAGAATGTACTAGGTTTAGACACAGCAGGCCATTGTGAACCAGTCAGAGCATGCGTTTTTTTATTAACATCATCCTGATACCAAAAGTGCCAACATTTGTACAGGCGTCACTGGCAGGGGATAGAGGCCATCGTCACGTGTGCGTAAGTACAGGGTGTACCGAATGGTGCAGCAGCAGAAGAATGAGAGGATTAGTTTACGGGTCGCAGTGCAGGAATCCTTCTTCGGAATGTCTCAGCAGATATCGTTATCTGAAAAGTTTCAGTCGGAATATCTCAAGGTCAGATGGAGGACCGCCTGACAAAAAAGTCTACGCTACGTCATATATACATTACAGGAAATGCAAAGTAAAGGTTCTGCTCTGATGTTATTGTTTAACACAGAAATCCTCGTAAAAATCTGTGACATGAACTTTAGTTTTCATCACATGCCTGTTAGACAGTCAGATTTAACCAAACATACTCTATTATTCGGCATCACTATAGTTTGATTTATAACTGTCACGTTATTATACATTTTTACATATGAGTCAGAAGGCTGTGCCAAATCCAGCAGCCTCTAGTGTCCCAAGTGTACCAATTCAATACTGCATACTATTTCTAAGCAGCTTCTAAGGGTGAATGGTTAACTAAAAAAGGAGTTTGCTTGTACAGTTTAATAAATAATTCTTGATTTTTGATTGTGATGTTCTTGTCCCACAATGCAATGCACAAAAGAAAGCGGGAGCCACTCACAGTTGAAAAATAAATAACAGATGATAGTGAAGATTTTGGTATTAAATTAAAAACATTGTGTTTTGTCTTTGTGAAGACTGGGAAGAGGAACTCCAAAACCTTTGTGTCTTCAGAGGGAGCCATTTGAAGTCTGAAAAATTGTCTCAAGTGATGTCACTTGAGTCAGCCTCAGTCAGTGCTAAATACTACAAGTTTGAACATTAAAAATATCGAAGGTTGTGGAGTTAGAAAGAAGTGAGTTTACCGGACCTCTGAAGCCTTCTAATCTCTGCTTGAGGCTAGCAGCTCAAGGCTACATTACTACTAGCATGACGTGCCCAAAGTTGCATTATGTGTAATGTATGCGCCAAGGTTTCAACAGGCAAGTACTACACCATGTGTACACTATGTACCTGCGAGCGTAATGTGTGAATTTCGAAAGTGTGGTGTCGTCTGAAATCAAACACGGCTGTTATGCACACCGGAAATGACGATTGCCGCTGTTAGCTTGCTAGCTCGTTTGTGATATTTGTGTTTAAACTGCCAAATTGAGCCAATAAACAATACTGAAGGCTTCTATCCGATAACAGTATAGTGGTACTTAAATATACGAGATTGGGAGGATGTTTATTGCCTCGCAATGGCTAACAACATGGCGACGGCTGAGCCAGCGACTCGCAGCTAACAGCGCTAACAAGTTTGTGACCACTGAGCGCGAGAAGTGTCCAGTGTTTTTACTCAAGTTTTTGACCATTATGAGTACACCATCCAGATAATCATAGTGTACTGCCTTTTGCCCTAATTGTCAACACACAAATGGGCCAAAAACTATCAGCCTGACGTACGTCATTAAAGACATGCAGGGAGAGAGAACGGAAATGTAATTGCAAAAATTGGGGACTAATGACAGTGAAGGTACGTCGGATCCCGCTTATGCAACGTGATGTCGTAACTGACCGTAAGTGCCTTACAGCAAGGCTGGGGACATCAGGAAGTTGGCCAGGGCACCCTAATGCACGCAGTGGTGTTGTCACAGTTATTCTGGGAGAGATAGAAGCAGAGACAAGATGCCAAGGATTCAGCCTGGCACTCTCAGGAGAGTAATATCTGAGAGCTATCAGCTCTCGGCTCTGTGCATCCCAGGAGTGGTTTTGTGATTACGTTACCCTATAGATGTTCTCACTTTCCGGCAACCAATCTGGTGGACTTCCTGCATATCTAGGTCGACAACTCCCGTTGTTTCCTCTGACCAGTCCCGTCTGGTTTCATTTGTATTTCATCATTTGACCTGAATTTTCATTTAGTCTGGTTATAAAGCTGGGTCACATAATGCACTATTCACAGCACTCTGCGGTGTCCGTCATGCTGACAGCTGGATCTCTTGTCACTCCCGAAACGGAGACC